TTGTTCAGTTAAAGAAGTATTAAACTTTCAAACTTTTTTTCAATAATGAACATGAGCATTGCTTTACATTTTGGCCCAAACAATTACAATCATCATGTTTGTAAACAGCTGCTTCCAAGTCTTTCAGCTTTCCTGAACTCCCTGTCCAGTACAAGATCACAAGGGACAGAGCAGACTCCAGCAACTGTTCATCTACTAGCTGGGAGAAGGGTGGAGAGGGGGCCAGGGGGAGAGAAATAGCTTGATTTTCTGTGTCTGTGTGTTTCCCGTAAATGCTAAAGTCTGATGAAGGGACCCTGTGTGGTCCCAAAAGCGCTTGTTGTTCATATGACAAAAAACGTCAATAAATGAAGCTTTTGCTAACTTAAAAGGACTGGTGTGCTGATGACATTTCTACAATTCTGTGTGTTTACGGAGACACACACAGCTTTCTAGCACACACAAGGGTGACCGCATAGCACTCTGCTTAAGAAAGGGGTCACTCTAAAACAGGAAGTCAGGACCAGTGCTCAGGGAACCAGCTGATTCTGCAGGAAACTAGAACTTTAAACATCAAGAAGCAGCATTCATTGTAACTGATTTCATCAGCATTTGAAATAACCTAAAATCCTTTTGACTTTAATATCACTTTAAGCTTTGAAAATGAAAGAAAGAAGCTGATTGGTTGCCATGGACAACTGCTCCAGATTCTGTCTGCTCCAGTTTTGATCAATTCCCCTCCATGTGGTTTGGTGTGGCATGCTTTGAGAAAAAAGATGCATGGACTTCTTTGGCTGTCATGCATAGGGCAGTCCATTGAAATAGATAGGCTACCCTAAATCAGATGCACAAAAAATGCGCATACACGTTGGGTTGCCTAACAAATGTGGGCACGCCCTTAAAAAAAACCAATGAATTGTTTTGAAAACATGAACACTTATTTACAAGGTTTATTGTATATGTTAAGACAAGACAAGGGGGTGCTAGAGAAAGAAAAGGAACACAAAGAAAAGGAACACAACAAAGTTGTAGTAGATGAAGAAGAACTGATCATACAGTAACTTGTGCTCCAACCTTCTGGAAAGTTGTGTGCAGCACATTCTCAATAAAGGGACTCTTGCCTCTGGAAAAGGTATTGTAGATCAGTCACAAGAGATTTCCCAACATACTAGAAAGTAGGAATGCACAGATATATCGGCCGCCAAAATATATCGGCCGGAAATTGCACTTTTTGCATAATACCGAAAGTGCCATTTTCTGGCCGATACAGCGGTGCATCCGTTCTTTCTCTCCTCCCCGCTGGGTGCTGCTCTGTGTCTCAGCGGGGAGGAGAGAAACTGTCACAGACGGCCGAGCGTTGTGGGAGGAGAGCGCTGTGAGCAGCTGTAACACCCTGCCCCGGGGTTTATCTGTTCCTTGGACCACAGCTGCGGATCGGGTTATTCCTAGCAGGACAGGTATCAGATTGTAGCTCTCCTCTTAAGCCGTGTATAGGTTTAGGCGAGGAGGGAGCTACTCAACATCACACCCCGTATAGTAGCACTTCTACCCTGTAAGATGCCAGTAGGGTAGTGAGGATCTCACATTAGTAATTCAATAGGTGTGAGGTATAACAGTTCACTGGTTATCAACTAGTAATTCAAATAGGTATCAGGTGTCAATCAAACAGTTCAATAGCATTGAGGCAGTTCAATAGGTATGAGGTTGCACAGCTCACTGGTTATCAACTAGTAATTCAAATAGGTATCAGGTCTCAATCAAAACAGTTCAAATAGCATTGAGTTTGGCACTTGACGGAACACGGTTGTTACAGCAGCCGGCATCTCTCCTCCCACACCGCTCAGCCTCCTGTCACAGATCAGAAGAGAACAGTGTGGGCGGAGACAGCTTGCAGCGCTGTCACTGGAGGCTGAGCTCTCCTCCCTACACCGCTCGATCAGCCTCCTGTGACAGCTTGTCAGGAAGGAGACGAGTAAAAAAATAAAAATATTTAATAAAAAATGAATAAATAAAAATAAATATAAAAAAATAAAAAGTATATAAACAATAAATAAAAATAAAATATTTCTAAACATTTGAAAAAGTTAAAATAAAAACATTTTCGCTTTCGGCCTGACATTTTTTTTAAATTTAGGTTTAGTTTAGGTTTTATTATTTCGGTGCACCTCTACTAGAAAGTCTCTTCACCTGACCTAATGACAGAAATAGACTGTGGTACATACTCCAATGATCCTACCTACAATTGCTGAAGTTGGATTGCCAACTGGGAAACTGAAGAAACAGGATAAAACAGAAATGTTTATTTTTACTGCGTTTTAGTTTATGGTTTAATTATTATAAATTGCTTTTTACAACCTTTGTTCTATTTATATTAGATTGCAGGGTGAGGAAATTGTAATGCACATCACCTGCTTTCTATTTGCCTAAAGGCCTTGAGCCAAGCCCATCTCTAGCTCTATACAAAAGCCTGTTAGATGGGACAGAGTGTACTCTCGGCATCTCGTTATGGGGGCGGCAAGTGTGGAGGGGGGCTGCAGAGGGGCGATGACCGAGTACCAGGTTGTTAAGAGCTCTTAGCAGCCTGTGACGCTCTGTCCGGCTTTCCTCCCAGCTCACTGAAATCATTGGTTGCCAGGGAGCTGAGCAGGACACTATCGCTGGGCTGGCATCCCAATTATCTCCTGGCAACCAGTGATGTCAGTTAGCTGGGCAGGAGTGGACAGAGAGCAGCTGACGGCACAGCTCTCTGTCCTACCGCATCTGCTGCAAAGCACTCCCCCAGGCACTATCAGCAGCCCCCTCACTCTACTGCCTCAGGTGGCATATAGGGTAGTGATGCCCCTGTACACAGCCCTGGATTTCCGGGTGATGGCGGATGTGTTTATGGCAGTGAAGCGCTCCTGTCACTACCCCACCCCCCCCACCCCTTCCTGCTCCATTCACAAAGAGCCTTTGTTTTTTTTGACACAATACAAGGTGTTCTGTGAATAGAGGAGGACAAAGAAAGAAAGAGTAGGGGCTGGTATGCGACATGATCTCTCTTCCTCCAACTTGCATAGCTATTACAGTTTAGCTTTAATAGTCCTAAACAGAACTTCAGTAAGGGAGCTTTTTGTGATTTCTGATGTGTGAAAAAAAAAAGTTTCCTCTGCTGATATGTATGCCACATCTGGATCTCTGCTCTGTTCTTTAACCCCTTCATGACCAAGGCCCTTTTCTCGTTTTTTGCACCCATGTTATAATCCGCATTTTAGGCCCGAAAATGACTTCAAGCCCCCAAACATTTATATATTTTCTGAAAGCCAAGCCCTTTAGAATAAAATGTTGGCAGTTGCAAATTTTTATGTTGCACGATATTAGCGCAATTATTATCAAAACCCCAAATTTTGTGAAAAATGCGCTTAAATGCCCCAAAACACGATAAAATACCAATTTTTTCAATAAAAGATGAAGTTACAACGACTAAATAGATACCCAACATGCCCAGGGAAAAAATTGTGTGCGTCCGTGAAACTGCAACAAAATTCAGTACCCCAAAAAGTGCATAGACGACGCTTTAAAAGCCCCTACAGGTCATCAGTTTAGAGATATGCATAAATATTGGACCTAAATTAATTGCTCTCACTCTGGCATGCGCGGCGATACCCAACTTGTGTATCGCAATCATATTTGTGTATCGCAACTTGTGTATCGCAATCATTTTTACGTTAAGAAGCACATGCTCACGGGGGCGGGGGCTTTAACATTTTTTTATTATTTTCACATTTATTTAATTTAAAATTATTTTAATTTTTTTTTTTTTTTTTAAAGACGCCCGCTCAGATCTAGAGAGCTCCTGGCCGGCCGTTTTTTTACTACGGCTGGCCCGGAGGCAGTTAATTGCTATCACATAGGGGGGCTTAAAATCCCCCATCTGATAGGGTATTGGCAGTGACAGGTCCTCTTCAAGGTGAAACTGGGGGTTCAAAAGACCCCCCCGGCCAGGGGGGCGGACAGTTTACCGGCCCATAGAAGCAATCTGGCGACAGCTGAGTCGACAGAATCGCTTCTATTGTAAAGCCGGACACCGGGCGGCATGTAATGACTCACCGTTCAGCTTCCTGATTGGTCGGAAAGCTAGCCAATCAGGAAGACCGGCGGCAAATCATCACCCGTCCCCGGCTTCCTGATTGGCTAGATAGCCTTCTATATGCTTCCTCATCACCTGGTGATGAGGGAGCATGGAGACAACTTTCTGGCTAATTGGGAACCTGGGCGGCCAGTGATTACACACCGCCCGGCTTCCTTAATTGGACTTACGGTATTGGCGAGTACCGAAAAAAAATATCGGTAATAGGGCTGCAGCTAACGATTATTTTCATAATCGATTAGTTGCACGATTATTTTTTTCAATTAATCGATTGGTTGTATTAAAAAAAAATTAGATATGTTGTGTGAATGGAAACACATAACAAATACATGGTGGGGTTTTCTCAAATTTGACTGCAAAGTGGAAATATACTTTAAATTCTGCTGTAACTGACCCCTCCCCATCAGTTGTACATGTTTCCCTTAACTCAAATCCCACGTTGCTCCATTTAGCTCCTGGAAGAGAACCTGTTGCGCAGACAAAGCACAGGTTGACTTTAAAGTGCTCTTCTTTTAGAAGTAAGATGTTACAGGTCAGTCCGGAGATGGGGAAATGTACATAAATCAGGATGTCACTCATTAGTGGAACCCAGGTACTGTCAATGGCCTTGCAGTTGTAGGCTGTCTTCCATCTGAAGTCTCACTTTGTACTACATACCTCCCTCTTGCATTGTTCCATATACTCCATACCCCCTGCAGTAGCCAAGCTCTCACAATTAAGAGATAGATTATTAATTATCTGAGGACAGCTGTTTGCATCCTATGACATTAAAGAGAATGTCATCTTGGGTCCCCTGGTACAAAATTATGTGATGCTCTTGTCTAGATATATATATCTGTCTTAAAAATCAAATGCATTTTAAAATGTGCCTTTTTAATATTGTGTTTTTCAGACCATAAATCCCCAGAAAAAATCCCTGATATGCCGGTGACACCAGCTCACACCCCTCCGGATGGGGAATGGGGATGGGTAGTTGTCTTTGCTTCATTCATTTCAATTGGGTTCTCATATGCATTTCCCAAAGCCATTACGGTATTCTTTAAAGAAATCCAGGAGATATTCAACACCTCATACAGTGAAATTGCATGGATATCCTCCATAATGCTGGCAGTCATGTATGCTGGAGGTAAGTCACCAAAGAGCATTATTCAGTGTGTTGCTCTTCCTGGATCATTGAACGTGTAATTTCCTTTTCTAAAGCAGTTTATTGCAGTTGTTCAGCTTGTCATGAACAGCAAAGTCAGGTAATAATCCAGTAGTAAAATACCCACATATGCCTGTCTAATGCAGTGTTTCTCATACCTGTCCTCGAGTCTTGCTAACATTGAATGTTTACTAAAAATTCACAAGGGCAGCTAAATTGTATTGCTAAAACCAAAATGAATCCTTCTTTGTATGTGTGAGAGGACCTACAAAACGCGCACTGTTGGTTGCATGTAAAAATGCTATAGTGGATTCCATTGTCCACTGTAAAATACTTTGATGCTTAAAGTGGAACTCCAACCAAAATGTTTGTTATAGAGAGTGTAGGGAAGAGTTAGAAGTTTTCAAGTTTCCTGCATGTGTCCTTTTTTGGAGATATCTGCTCATTTCCAAGTTCGTCCGAATGCACATGTCTAGTTTACACCAGGTTGTCCCAGACTCTGGCCAGATCCGGAAACACAAACGGATCAGAGATCCGTTTCTCCGGACCTTATCATGCTGGATCGGGGATAATCTAATGTAAATGGATACGTCTGTTTACATGCGATTCCCCATAGAAAGACATGGTCCGATAACTGCAGTTTTTTCCAAGATGGAGGAAAAAACTGTATGGACATGGATGCCACAGCGGACATCCATGTCCGCTCCCTACTGCTGTGTTCAAGAGGGGATACGTGCACAGATCCTCTCCTGATCAGCTTATGTGAAAGGGGCCTTAGGGATGAGTGAACCGAGCACAGTTCAATTCGCTGGACGTTTGCCAAACCCAATAGGAAATTTGCAAACCCTTAATATAATGCTGGGGCCAAATAGGAGCCAAATCTTGTCATTTTTTTAATGCAACTTAAACGGCAACATTAAAAATATGCAAATTCTTTAAATAGCATTCTTGGAGGATGCTTTTAACCCACATGTGAAGTTGTGCAACAGTACTCCAGCTAAAGTGACATAATATATATACAGTATATACAATATTACCACCACTTAATAACAGATCCTTTCTGGGCCTGCTTCTCATTCTAAAAATGGTGTGCCCTCAAAATGCATACCAAGCCCTTATCTACTGGATAAGAGTCTGTTATGGATTTTAAGGGGCAATCAAAAATGGTTTGTTTTCTTAAATTACAGTGCATGTGTCCCTTTAAGAACAGAAAAACATATTGTTCTGAGGTCTTGTGACCCATATATTATGATTGTACTCTCTGTTTCTCACCTCTCTGTTTATAAATAAAGAATTAAAAAAAAAAAAAAAGAACAGAAAGAACAGAAAAACACAGCATGGGGTCCCATACAAAATCCAAACCAGACCCATATCCAGGCATGTAACCCATCTGCTCAGAAAGGAAGGGAGCAGTAATCTCCCCCTCTTCCCTTCCTGAGCCATGCTAGGCCACATGCCATCAACATTGGGAGGGCACCTTGTGGGGAAGTTGGGGGGTCACAAAGCCTCTTGCAGTGTGCATTAGAAGCTACAGTAAAATAGTTAGAGCTTGCCTCATTTCCTGGCTGGATAATGTCCAGCATCAATCTAGCCCTTTCCTCCCTACCCTGACCTTTCACTTGCCATACCCCTTCATACCCCGAGGCAAGGCTCGTGACAGAGGCAAGGACGTCAATACTTTTAGTTATGAAAGATCAGCATCACACACAAATTCAATGCCCACTCCTCCAGATGGATATCCACTGACCAAGACACTTTAATATTTGCATAACTCCTCCCAAGTGCCAGCTGACGTCTTGTGTTAGTACTGAGTGCTTTTGAGAGGTGCTGTGATGTTTTTAGCTATATACAATACTCCCACCCGCCATGATCTGCTTCACTGCATAGAGAAACACTGAAACATGTGATTATATCACTGGGTCTTAAATAGGTAAATATGTAATTAAAACAGAAAAGCTTTATTTAAAAAATATTGTTAGCATGTTGGGGGGTGGGGGGACCAGGAGCCAGCGGAGGCAAAATAAAAGCAGATTAAACTTCTGCTTTAGGCCAACTCTGACAATATTTTCTTCCTGTCAAACTGCTAAGAGCAATTCAAAGCAATAAATGAGTCATTGTAAGTAATGTGTAACTTCCTCTTTCTCTAATTCCTGAATCAGCAGTTCAATTTGATTGGTGGCTTTGGGAAACTAAAGCTGGCCATACATCTATCGTCAGACTGAACAAGAAAAAAAGCTTGGTTCCCCCATCCACACTAAACAGTGTCCCCCCGCCGGCCTATTGTATTTTGACAGCAGTGAGTGCACCACTGTCAGAATACATGAAGGAGGGATGCGGACGGGGCCATGCACAGCTTGAATGTCAAAATGATGACATTTGAGTAGCGTATGGCCAGCTTTACACTCCCAGGTTATCACTAGTGATGGGCTCGGGTGTGTTCACAGCTCCACGTGCCGAGCCCGCCAGGAAGCTGACAGCTTCACAGGTACTGAGACATGTTCCCGGTTCGCAGCTGCAGAGATCGGGAAATGTCTCAGTGCCTGTGATTGGCGCTGCGCGCTGTCAGCTTCCTGGCGGGCTCGGCACGTGTGGCTGCGAACACACCCGAGTCCACCACTAGTTATCACATCACTGGTAAACTAGAGTGGGTTGGACTGGTGCACTACAGTTATGCCTGGATGAAAAATGACTAAAAGTCATGAACAGGTAGTTATTTATAGGACCGTGCATTTAACAGATTGGATTCAGCAGGACAAATAAGCTTGAGCAAGTATAGCAGAATCACTGTCTCCTTTATTTATTGAAGCTCAGCAGGAGAGTGATCATTGTTACATTGCAGGAATTTAGTGAGCGGTTTGAACAGTTTATTTGAATGGTAATGTATTATTTAAAGCTGAACACCGGGAAAGCATTGAAATACACAGATGAAATACATATGACGGAGCAGTATTGCCTGCCAAATTAGCATTTCTTTATAATCTTTCCTTTGCAAAACCTTGTCACACAGCACAGTTATAAGGATAAAACCACATTCTTTTATATGAAATGCAGCGATGCCCTCTCCCTACCTCGGCCTGCTGTTTATTCAGTAAAGAAGTAGCAGCATAATAATGAGGTTATCAGTCTTCTCACTCTGCTCTCTCGTCCCATCAGCATGCTCCTTGTCAGCCCATTTGTATGCAATACAACTCTTGTCTCCTAATCTCGCCCCTTCTTCGCCCAGTCTTTGTGCTGCTGTTTGTGGGATTGCAAAAGGCAATACATGAAGGAAAATTTAAAATGCTGGTACTTACACTAGTTGGATTAAAAAAATAATACATGGAGTGATTTATTAGCCACAAATGAATGCAGCTCTGTCTTTATATCTGCCTGGAGTTCATCTTCAAATGTAGTGATACAGATACTTAGGAACTCTCAAGCGTATCCCCAAAAAAATGCAGAGAGCAAAACAGGAAGCAGAAGTTCTTCGACTGATATACATCTAATAAAGTTACAACCCAAACTTAGGGGGTAATTTAACACGGGCAACAGATATCGCTGTCCACTCCCAGGTATGCAATGCTGCTGTACACAAACTGCCACCTATCTCATTGATAAAAATTGGGCCAGACATTGCCCGTGATGCCCTAAGGCGTTTAATGCTGGTTAAAGTGACACTAAACTCAGGAGTTAAATCTTTAAAACACATTCAGGTACCCTAACTTCTAGCAAAAATGTAGCTCATTTGTGTTTCACTCAGCTGCAGATCCTCAAATCATCTCTGAATTGGTGCTGACACTGTCCTTCCTTCTGGAGGGTGGCTACTTTTGTTCGCCATGGTCCCTGTGTGTGTTGTAATTTAGCCACCGCTCCAAGCTCACTCCTGTGATGGAATACAATCTCACGTTTAGTTTACTAACAAAAGTAGCCACCCTCCAGAAGGAAAGACCGTGTCAGCATGAATTCAGAGATGATTTTATGGTTTGAGGGCCCAGTCACACCATATCCAGTGCGTTCCGGCGCGGTCCGAGCCCAGAACGCACTGGATCGCATAGATCAGGCTGGGTTGCATTCTGGGGCGGGAGGGGGCGTGGTGGTGCCATTCATGTCAATGGCAACATGGGCACCCCCGCCTGCAGTGCGATCGCCCACAACAGAACGCGAGATGCAGGAATGTCCTCCGTTCCAGTGCAGTGCGATCTGCAGCATTTTTTCCAATTGCACTGCACTGGAACGGAGGACATTACTGTATAACTCGCGTTCCGGTGCAGGCAATCACACAGCAGACAGGGGGCGTGCCTGCGGTGCCATTGGCATGAATGGTACCGCCAAGCCCCCTCCCACCTAGAATGCACATGGATATGGTGTACCTGGGCCCTGAGGATCTACAGTTGATTGCTACAAAATAAGATACATTTTTGTTAATAGTTCAGGTACTTGAAGGTTTAACTCCTGAGTTTAGTGTCACTTTAATGGAGCAGAGAGTTTTGTGATTAGAGGAGAGACAGTCTTGTGACTTTTTCTTTAGTGTACACAACTTTCATTCAACTATACCACTGCTTTTTTAATGAGTCCCTTAAGAGTACATGATAGATTCTGATTGGTTGCTATGTCTGATTTAAGTATTGTTCTTCAAAGTTTATTCTTTGCTCCTTGCACTGTTCTACTGCAAAAATCCTATAGATGTTCCTGCTAACTTGTGTTCAGTGCACAAGGTCAAATGAACTGGTAAATCTCATTACAATTTCAGACAGAGTGAGCAGGTGTTAAATACATACGGGGCTAAACGAAAAGCAGCGCATATTGTCAGTGCTGGACCAAAAGTGGCTGAAGTCTTCACATGTTATCATGGTATTGACCTTTGCCTGCTCTTCAACCACGATTTCATCTTCTGCCTGGTACTGCATTGCCTGCTTGGTTCCAACTTGGCCTGCTCCTGACCTCGCTACCACCTGATCTGCATTCCAGACATGCCTCTCCTGCGTTGTCTGCTGCTCTACAGT